GTTGTTTTAAATATGAAACTTATTTAACAAAAAACAAACAAACCAAAGTAATAGGTGGAATTGACCTTTCAGCATTTATCATTTAATTTATTACTTGTCATAAGCCAGTAGAAGAATAAATTTTTTATATAATAACCAGCACTTCATTTTATTGACTGGTTAGGGAGCTAAAACAAAAAAAAAAAATGAATTTCTGTCCCAGAGCAGGAGGGTGTGTCCAATTCTCCTCCCATTTTCCACTTCATACATGTGTAAGCCTTTTCAGTTTTCTGTTTAAATCAGTTATGAGTAAGGTTCATGCTTCTTCTCAAACCATCTGCATGTATACAAACACATCCAAAGTGAGCCCATTCTCCTTTCAATAACTCTCCCTTCCTCTTATATTCCTAATGCTATCTGAGGCATCCTTCCAATAGGCAAGGCTCATAAACGAAGTGTCATGCATTCCCCATGACTCTCACAGATTCATACTTCCTACATCCATATTCAATCTGTTGCAAAGTTACACACATCTCTTACATGGACGCTTTTCTGTCTCAGCACTGTTACTCTCTTGGTTCCAACTCCAGTCACTTCATACCTGAGGCATTTCAGAGCCTGCTGGTTGGCCCAGCTGCCTCATCTCCCCCCAGTCCAGTCACTCCTCCACCCAGTTCTGAAGTTCATCTTCCTGAAGCTCTCACCTGACCATCTCCACCCACTCAACAACCTCCTATAGCTCCCCAGCAAAAAGATCCAATAAAAAATCCTCCCTAGGCTGCTAGAGCACTTTATCACCTCCCCCTCTCCCACTCTTCCAGTCTTCTTCCACCCTGTTTCCCCTCATATATGCTATAATCCAGCGGTACGGACCTCCTTTCTGTTCTGTGAATAGGACACTCTACCTCCGGACTCCATGGGTTTTTTTCACTATCCCTTTTACCTAGAAGACTCACCCTGGCTTCCCTGAAGCCCCAGCTAGAGCCCACCTTCTACACGAAGCCTTTCCCAGTCCTTCTTCCCTATAGGGCTTTCCCTCTTGCCCAGCTCCAATTTATCCTGTCCATAGTGGGTTTCTACAAAGTAGCTGGAGTGTCATCTGCCCTGCCAGACTGTGAGCTTCATGAGAGCCAGGGACGTGCTTTGTGTTTCTTTATGTCCCTGGTGCTTAGGACAGGGATTGGTATGCAGGTTACACTTAATAAATGTTTGTTGACTTGAAGAAAGTCTAAGAAAGAGCTAATATTGGACAACCTATCCCCTTTAGCATTTCCTGGAAAATTTCATGCTCCCAAATTCCAAATAATGACTTCTTATACAATCATAGATTTATCCCTAGAAGGTAGCTGAAAGGCCATGGAGTCCAACCCCCTCATTTTACAGATGGGGAAACTGAGGTGCCATGGTTCAGTAATTGGCCCAGGAAGCCACTGCTAAAAAACATCTGAAAAAGAATTCCAAGGCAGGTCTTCCAGCCCCCAAATCTAGCACTTTATCACAACATCTAGAATCCTCTTGTAATCACAGCTCTCATATACCTGCTTTCACCTCACTCACCTGGACAGCAGTTCTTCAGGCCTTCTTGCTCTGGCATCCACGGTGCTTCCCTTTGCTCAAAATAAGAGATCACATCTTCTCTGGGAACTGGAAGCCCTAAGCATGGGGAATCAGAAATAAGCATGGAGAGAAACTTCTATTTTAGTTCTCCTTAGGGAAAGGAGTGTGGATACAGAGCTGCTCCATTTTGAGAATCACTCCAGTACACTCACTCACAGGACTCTGTACTCACCTATCAGTGCTTGTAATGCAAGTAACCCAAAATAGGATGTGTTGTACAACGTGTTCTGAGAAACAGCCAAACCCTCTGCCCCCCATCCTGTTATGCTCCATTCTGGCAGAAATTCCTAACCCCTAAAACTGGGTAAAAACATTATTGTGCCAGATCAGCCTCTAGTCCCAGCAACAGGAAACTGAATAAATCATATTTTGTCCTGTCCCCGTGCCTGGCTCCTCACTCTCTGAAACTTATGTAAACCTTGTGTACTGTTCATTTGGGGAGTCTTTGCCTTTTCAGGCGAGATTCTCCTGCCGGCGAATTCCAGAAACTCTATTGCCCTAATTTTTTTTTCTCCTCCAGTCTGTTAGTCCTGCCAATGACAGGGGCGTGCCAGCAAAGAGCCCAGGATGATTCCCAGGACTCCTGCAGGATTTCCATAGCATTGATTTTGGGGGGTGTTGGGGAGAAGATCACGGAGCCAGTTTGGAGACAGAGAATTTGGTCTTGGTGCACCTTCTTCATAGAAGGATGGACTCATTATATAGTTTCCATTGTCTAGAAATCAGAGTCAGCTGATGGTGCAGTGGAGAGAGCATTGGGTCTGGAGCCAGGAATGCCCGAGTTCAAATCAGGCTTCAGACAGTTACCAGCTGTGTGCTCCTGGACAAGTCACTTAACCTCTGTTTACCTCAGTTTTTTCAACTCTCAAATGGGGACAATAACATCACCTAACATGGAAGGTTATGGTGAGGACAAAGTGGCATAATATTGTAAAGAAAGTACTTGGCCCAGCTACTGGCAAATAGCAGGTACACACAAATTCTTATTCCCTTCCCTTCCTTTCCCACTGTTTGCACTGGAATTTTAGGGCAACATGAAGAAGATTAAGGTTGAGCCTGCTACACTGGGCATATCTAAGAGCTGGGAGCTACAAATTGATACTTGTAGAAAGAAGAATATCCCCAAAACTAGATCCATCCCTGGGAGGAAGAGGCTGCAAGGAAAAGCTGATTCAGTTTTTAGAGATTTGGCAGCAAAATTCATGTCCAGGTAGAGGTTGGACTAAATGACCTCTGAGATCAGTTCCATGGCTAAGATGCTTCCACATTGGATTGGACCTTTGACCTGAAGCTACCCAGAAGTGGTAATAAGAGACAGCGTCAGGAGCAACAAAGGAAACCCTCAGGTTCCTATCACACAATTCAAAGCCCCTTTATAGGAAAACCAGAGAGAAGGAGGACCCTGTATCTTGGACACAGGAGACTAGCACTTTTCCTTTCTAGTAACTGATAAATGCTCCAAATCCTTCATAGTAGGGAATGAAGATATTCCATTTGATTGCTGACTCAGAGTTACCATGGCAAGTGTCCTTACCCAGGGAGAGTAGGTTCTGGGCATTCTCCAGCATGACCTCCTTGTACAACTCCTTCTGAGGATGGTTCAAGAGGCCCCACTCCTCCTGGGTGAAGTCCACAGCTACATCCTTGAATGTCACCGACTCCTAAGTCACCAAAAATCACAGGACAAAGACCTGAATGACACTTCAGAATAAATAGTCCAACCCTCATCAATTTACAGGAGGAAACTGAAGCACAGAGAAGGGATTTGCCCAAAGGTCATATCCTTTATGAGTTCCAGAGTCAACTCTTGAAACCACAATCAGTAAGAGCCTGATGGAATTTTAAGAAAAGCATTTTATATCATCAGTTGGAACGAAGCTGAGAAATGTCTTACTACAAAATGTGTGTCCCTGTGGAATTGGGGAAAGTTTGTGTTCTATCTGTGAGGTGTGTGGATCTGTGGAGGAGCAAGACAGAGGGTGATGGGAAATTTCTGCCTTCTCCGAACTGATCTAAGTGATATGTTCTAAAGAAAACTCTGTAAAGAGTTTGTGAGAAGCTCAAGAGCACAGAGTATACTGTGTGAAAAAAGTTTTATGTGATCACTTAAAAGAACCAGGTTAAAGGAAAGATCTAGTTTGTTTCCCAAGAGGTTGGAATAAAGTCTTAACTGGATGAAAACATGAAGACGAATCTAATGAGATCTTCATGAGAGTCTGGACTGCACTGAGTGGTATGAGATGGTTTCCATGCAAGTGAAGAAGAGTTATCTGTTGTTACAACTGAGGGCTGGAGGTCACTCTGGGGATGATGTGTGATGGCCAAAATAGCTTCTGCCTTTGTCTATGGCATATATTCCTTAGTTAAACTATCTGATTACAGTAAACAAAAGTAACTCTGAGAGAGAAAGGAGACTTCCTTCATTGATTAAAAAAGCAATATTTCATTAACTTGCATTTTGTTTGAGCTAAGTCACCTTTATGAGAAAAAAATGCTCTAACCATACTCCTAGAACTGTAGAAACTTGGGAGAACAAGAGCTAAGAGAATGAATCTATCATACAGGAGAGGCTGGCTAGGTCTGAGAAGAACCTGATACTTGAGAAGGATCATCTAGATTTCCAGCCTGCTACAGGTACAACATGGGCTTGGCCAATGGGCTTGGATTTTGGTGGTCTTCCATTTCATTTTTCTTCCATTTTCATCATATGTGGATGATTTACTTTATCAGAAATTATGTTTTTTAAAATTTATTCATTGTAAACAAATACAAAATGAGAAAATGAAAAAAAATTTCCATTTACACAAAACATGAGGATTCAATATAAAACAATAAAACAAAAAATACAAAACAATAAAACAATAAATTTCCATTTTCCCCAAACCTATGTAATAAATCCTACACTAGGGGGTGGGGAACCTGTGGCCTTCTAGGTCCTAGGTTCAAATTTTACAGAAGAAATCCTTTGTGAATTTAGTCAAAAGGCCACACTTAAGGCCTGAAGGCCACAGCTTCCCCACCCTTGTCCTACACATCGTTTTCAAAGCAACCCAGGTTTTCTGTGCTTCCTTCTAGATTTTCTTTCATTCTCTGCTGTGTACTTTTTATTTTTTTTTCTCCCTCCTTCTTCCCACCTCCAGCCCTAAAGAAGGTTACAGTTAAACATGAATATATACACATATACATGTATATATGACCCTACTATACATATTTCTTTTTATCAGTTCTTTCTCTGAAGGTAGATAGCATCTACCTTCACAAGTCCAAGTCCTTCCGTATTTTTCTAAATCAACCAGCTCATCATTTTCTACACCACACCCGTATTCCATCACAATCATATCCTATCTGAGAGATTGTCTATGAAAGTTTCCCCCCCAATTTTCTGCTTTTCTTCTAATCTTGGCTACATTGATTTTATTTATATAAGAAATCTTTAATCTAAAATACATTTATCCCTTCCACATTATGCCTTTCCCCATCGCGGTTCCAATATACTGTGAGTTGGCATGAGAAATTAAATGCAATTTTTGGGTGTTTTATAGAAACCAAAGATGATATACGAAGGCCAGCAGATGATACAGAAAAAGTTTGGAAACTCAGAAATGCATAAAATATGTGTATAGCATTGTATAACATCAACATATTTTATCTTTTAATGCCATAATAACTCAGACTTCTTTTCTGGTCCAAAGGGAGGGCCAAAAAATTTTATGTGGATTTTCAAGATTGAAAGGGCACTGCATGATGTGGAAATGGTCACTGGAATAGAAATTATCCATTTTACACTTCAACAAAGCTCTCGCCTTATAATATAATTTAATGTCTGGTACTGCTGAATTTCCTTCTTTTATATTTTCCTCCTTAGTTTCTTTGAAATTCTTGATCTTTTCCTTTTCCAAATGACTTTTGCTATTATTTTTCTAACTCAGTAAAACAATTCCCATGAACAATGAAGAGTTCTCCAATTATTTAAATCTGTCTTTATTTGTATAAAGAGTGTTTTATGTCTATGTTCATGTTCCTATGTCTGTTTTGGCAGGTATATACTCAGGTATTTTATATTCTCCTGACTTCAGGGCCGGTGCTCCATCCACTGCGACACCTAGCTGCCCTGGTTTATATTCTCTAGATATTTTAAATGGTCTAAGACGATATTGGTGACATATAGTGTAGTTTCCTTATTTTTCTCTTTCAATTAAATCTATTTTAGCTTTAGCTTTAACTGATTTAGATCAGGATTACTACTCCCGCTTTTTCTATGTAACGAATTCTACTTCAGCCCCTTACTGCATCTCTGTATCTCTCATTCTTATTGTGTTTCCTGAAAGCAACATATTGTTGAGTTCAGATTTTTAATCCATTTCCATTTTATGAGTAAATTCTTATCATTCACATTCAAAATTATAATTACTTGTTGTGTATTTCTCTCCATCCTATTTTTCTTTACTATCCTTCTCACCCTATTTACTCTATCCCTCCTCACTGGTCTAATTTACTCACACCCAATACCTTGCCCTACTATTCCTTAATCTACCTATCCCTCTAAGAGTCCCTCCCTTATCTTCTCCCTCACCTTGCCCCTTAATCTACCACTCTTTCTAAGAGTTTCTCCCTTATGCTCATAATGCTTATAATTCTTAATCTACACACCTTTCTAGAAGTTCTTCCGTTATCCCTTCCCATCCCCCTCTTATTTCTTTCTGAATCTAGAAGTATTTTATACCCTTCTAGATATATATATATGTTGCTCCCTCTTTAACTAATTTCAGATAACAGTAAGATTTCAGCACTACTCACCCACCCCTCTCTTGCTTCTTCTGTATAAATTCTTTCTTTCATGCCTCATATATGAAAAGTATGTACATGTATGTACTCCTTTCTATTTTTATTTTTTAGAATCACCCCATCATCCACAGCTCAGCCTAGGCCTTTCTTTCAAACTACCCAAATAATGATGACAGCTATAAGAGTACTGACAACATTTTCACATATAAGAAGTAAACAATTTGACCTTCTTGAGTCTATTATAATTGGCCTTTATGTTTACCTTATATTTCTCTTGGATCTTACATGTCAAATTTTCCATTTAGTTCAGCTCTTTTTGTCACATATTCCTGAAAGTCTTTTAATTCATCAAATATCTTTTTTTTTCATTCAGGACTATACTTTATTGGGTAAGTTACCCTTGGTCAAAGCTCCAGCTCTTTTGCTGTAAGAAATATAGTGCTCCAAGATGTATAGTTCTTCAACTTAGAAGCTGCTAGGTCTTGAGTAATCCTGATCGTAGCTCTAAGATTTTGAAATTTTTTTTCTTGTTGCTTGTAATATTTTTTCTTAATCTGGAAGCTTTGAAACTTGGGCTATGTTATTACTGTTATTCAGGTGGTGATCAGTAGATTTTTTCCCCCTATTTCTTCTTTACCTTCTTGTTCTAGAAGTTCAGGGCAATTTTTCTCAATAATTTCTTGTTATATTGTATCAAGATTCTTTTTTAATTGTAATTTTCAAGGAATCTGACTATTTTCATATTGTCTTTCCTCAACCTGTTCTTCAGGTCAGTTTTTTTTCTGATGTTTCAAATTCTCTTCTATGTGTTCATACTTTTGATGTTGGGAGAACTTAAAAGGATGTTAAAAAACAAGTAAGACAGATTGAGGAAAAATTAGTGAAAAAATAAGAGCAATTAAAAAAAAATCAGGAAAATTATGAAAAGAAAATCAACCCACTAGAAATAGAGAATCGGTGGCAGAAAGTACCTAGAGGGCAGAGCTTAGAATGGATACGTTGGAGGCTCTGACTCCATGAAGTACACAGAGAAAAAAAAAAGGGGACCAGATGATTAGAGGGGCCATGAATCAGAGACTGAGGGTCTAGGGAAAACAGAAAACAGAAAGAGAAGATGGACAATGAAGAAAGTGAGATAAACCCTTGTTGGAAAGGGGCAGACAAATCGATAAAATTAAAAAAAAACTAATGAAAAGGGTGAGTTGAAGGGGAAAAGAGGAAGGGGAATCTACATGAGTAACTGAGAAGAAAAAGGAAGGGTAAGAAATGTAGAATTTCTGAAGAAACTAGAATTAAAAGACTTATAGCATCTTCTAAATGGGACAACCAAGGAATATGCATATTTCTTCGCAATGTGAAACTTCTACAAAAATTAACCACTAGGGCACGCAAACTACTAAAAAGGCAGAAATAATCAGTACATCCTTTCATCCCATAATGAAATAAGAATAGGAATTGGTTCAGGGGACCACAAACAAAAGATACAAACCCAGATGGAGTCTTAACAATGACATATTAAATAATGACTGAGTCAAAGCACAAATCACAGAAAGGATAACTTTGTAAAAGAAAATGACAGTGATGAGACAATATACCAAAATTTCTGGGATTCAGCTAAAGCAGTCCTCAGGGGGAGAACATATCCTTACAATCACACCTTAAGAATACAGAAGAGAGGTTAAAGACTGGCTCAGTAAAATCTTGTTAACAAATCTTTTTCAACATCATAAAAACATCTACCTAAAACCAACACCAAGTATCACATGAAATAGGGATACATTAGAACCTTTATATAATTTATATATAATATATATAATAATAACAAAATACAAGAAGGAATAATTGAAAGAGAAATCCCATGCCAAATAAGTAAAAT